TTTGGCGCAGAAATAGGTGGCGGAATCCTCCTCCTTGAGGTCGTTCATCTGCAGCGTCACCGTGCCCTGCCCGTTGTCCCTGGCGATGGTGAACCGACCCTTCACCGATGGCGCGTAGTCGGTGGCATCACCAGTGTTGGTGATCCCAGCGACGTATTCCAACCCCTTCCCGGGGCTCTGGCGCATCCAGCCCATTCCGTAGCTGGCGAAGGTCAAGACCCACCTGGGAGGGCCCAAATCTAAATCTTATTACCCCAAAACATGCAAAAGGTCAAGATTGGCATCAACGGTTGAGATTTGGGGTCAATGGTTGAGCTTTGGGTCAGCGGTTGAGATTTGGGTCAACGGTTGAGATTTGGGGTCAATGGTTGGGATTTGGGGTCAACAGTTGGGATTTGGGGTCGATGGTTGGGAGTTGGGGTCAATGGTTGAGATTTGGGGTCAACGGTTGAGATTTGGGGTCAACGGTCGAAATTTGAGTCAAATGTTGAGATTTGGGATCAACGGTCGAGCTTTGAGGGACCAAGTTGAGCTCAGGGGTCCAAATCATTGGGATTTTGGGGCAAAGAGTTGGGGTTTGGGGCCCAAGGTAGAGAATTGGGGCAAAACCAGCCCAAGGTCGGGACCAACGACGGAGAGCTGGGTGCGAAGGGTGGAGGTTTGGGGGGGAGGGTCTGGGCTTTGGGGACAGGTGGGGACCCCAACAAGGGGGTCGATATCATCAGCCAAGCTAGCACCGCTATCAGCACTTTTGGCACAGAAATAGGTGGCGGAATCCTCCTCCTTGAGGTCGTTCATCTGCAGCGTCACCGTGCCCTGCCCGTCGTCCCTGGCGATGGTGAACCGGCCCTTCACCGCCGGCGCGTATCTGGTGGTGCCACCAGTGCTGCTGATACTGGCGACGTATTCCAGCCCCTTCCCGGGGCTCTGGCGCATCCAGCCCATTCCGTAGTCGCCGAAGGTGAAGCCGGAGGTGCGGCAGAGGAGCCGCAGGGACTCCCCCGGGGCCTTGAGGTCGCCCCCGGACTCCACCGGGGTCACGGTCCCTCGGTTTCACCTTCGGCAGCTACGACATGAACTGGGTGCGCCAGAGCCCCGGGAAGGGGCTGGAATGGGTCGCTGGGATCACCAACACTGGTGGTAGCACCGGCTACGCGCCGTCGGTGCAGGGCCGGTTCACCATCGCCAGGGACAACGGGCAGGGCACGGTGACGCTGCAGATGAACGACCTCAAGGAGGAGGATTCCGCCACCTATTTCTGCGCCAAACGTTACAATGCTGGTGCTGGCTGGGGTGCTGCTGGTATCCAACCTTTGGCCCCAAATCTCAACCGCTGAGCCAAACCCATTCATCCAAAGCCAGCGTTGCCCAAGGTTTTTTGGGAAAGGGTTGAGATTTGGGGCCGGGGGCCGAGATTTGGTGTCGACGGTTGAGATTTTGAGTTGACGTTTGCGATTTGGGGTCAATGGTCAAAATTCGTGGTCAACGACCGAGATTTCAGGTCAAGGGTCAATATTTGGGTCAACGACCGAGATTTCAGGTCAAGGGTTGACGTTTGGGTCAACGGTTGAGATTTCCAATCAACAGTTGAACGTTGGGGTGAACGACTGAGATTTGGGGCAGAGAGTTGGGGTTTGGGGCCAAAGGTTGAGAACTGGGGGCAAAACCACCCCGAGGTCGGGACCGACGACCGAGAGCTGGGTGCGAAGGGTGGAGGTTTTGGGGGAGGGTCTGGGGACATGAGGGGACCCCGCCAAGGGCGTCGATACCATGAGCACCACCATAACCGCCAGCATTAGCACGTTTGGCGCAGAAATAGGTGGCGGAATCCTCCTCCTTGAGGTCGTTCATCTGCAGCGTCACCGTGCCCTGCCCGTCGTCCCTGGTGATGGTGAACCGACCCTTCACCGACGGCGCGTAGACGGTGTAACCACCATTGTAGTTGATCCCAGCGACCCATTCCAGCCCCTTCCCGGGGCTCTGGCGCACCCAGTTCATGGCGTAGCTGGCGAAGGTGAAACCGAGGGACCGTGACCCCGGTGGAGTCCGGGGGCGACCTCAAGGCCCCGGGGGAGTCCCTGCGGCTCCTCTGCCGCGCCTCCGGCTTCACCTTCGCCAGCTACGGAATGGGCTGGATGCGCCAGAGCCCCG